GCTATCCAGTTTTCAAAATGACGTCCAAGCAAGTGCAGCAGCGTGTCAAAATTTTGCTCACGCAGCAAGAGAATCCGTTTTACACGCCAAGTTGGCTAAATTGCTGGATGTGGCCAAATAGACCGTGACAAACGTTTTAAAAGTGTTCGGGGAGTGTCTGTCGATCTCCAGGAAGCCTGGAAGCGGCGGCAATCGTAATCCGGACATGCCAGCGACGACGAAGAAGGTGGCGGTGAAATATAAGAGGATTCCTAACCTCTCCATCCGGGACGTCGCTGGCAAGCTCAATGTCTCCCATACTACTGTGCAGTGGGCCAAGAAACGAGCCGAGTTGTCGACGTTTAAGAAGGTGAAAGTGGCGAACCGAGATTACAAACAAAACACGTCGGCAAAGCAGCGGTCCCGAAAGCAGTATACGAAATCTGCTCACAAAGTTCAACTGTGTCGTCATGGACGATAAAACTTATGTGAAGGCGGATTTCAAGCAGCTTCCGGGACAGGAGTTTTATACCGCATCAGGTACCAGACATGTTTTGAACTGCACTGTCCTCTGTGAACAATTAACAGAAAACAGATTATGTGTAGTATCCGACAGATGTCATCGCCAACAACAGCATTGACATCTGATGGGAAACGAATGCAGAAGCTTGACAAAATGATTAATTGAATTCTGTGGGGAAATTCAACGGAGATCGAAGCATGGTTCCACAAGGGGGGAGGAGAAAACTTAATGAATGCATAGGAGATTTTTTTAAAGTTTTTGAAAAAAATTCCAAGCAAGTTCTTCCTAGGATTTCAGGATAATTGTGAAGAAAATTTGCATGGAAATTCTGAGGACGAATCCATATTCTTATGAGAGCCTGAATGGAATGAAGTATTCAAATGAAATTCCTATAAGAATTTCATGGCAACTAAAAGTGAAACTCCATGAGAATTCTGAAGCATATTTTGAGGAATTCCTGAGTGGATTTCGAATGTAATTTAAGGAACCATTCCATTGAAATTTTTGTAGCAATCAGTGTTGGCAATATCATTAATCAAATGATATTTTTCTGCTCTCAAACGCTCCCAATATCACGCGTGATATTGGAACAAAATATCATGCTTGAAAATGATTTTACAAGCTTGCGAGACTATTCAAAACGCGCAAAAATCAAGCTGAGCGTTGACTAAACACAAACATGATTCCGTTGCACATCGTTTTCTTAGACAGAGAAAGTATAGTTTGCTATCTCTTTTTACTGTTCACCGATGGCAGACACGAAGTGACTGCTGCCAGCCGTTATGGAAGTTTCGGTTGCGTTCGGGTGTAAAGCAAAAATAATGAAACTCAATCTCACCACAGTTTGTTGATATTTGCAGCTAGTGATTTTTGTTAACGTGATATTCCGAGCTGCGATATCACAGCTTGCAATATCAACCCCAGTTGTTTGCTTGTTGATTTTTGTCTATGAAAATCAAGCGTGATCTTGGGCATTGGTGTGATTTGATTTTTTGATATTTTCCCAACACTGGTAGCAGTAATGAGAATGTTAAGGTAACTTTGTTGCAATTAATAGAAATTCCAGGTTAATAGAAAAAATTGCAGACCGAATTTCAAGAGTTTTCTTTAGATAATTTCTAAAGTGTTTTGGAGAAAATTATGTGGGTATTACCATAGAGAGTTGTATTCCCATTATGAATTTCTTAGATTATTTTAAAGATATTCTCGAACAAATTTCAAACAAATCAAAACAAAAAAAGTTCTAAGATAAATCTAATTTGGAACACAAATTAAGGTTCTGATACTTCAGATAAGTTTTTACTTAAAACAAATCAGATCTTATATGAATATCCCGAAGATGGATAATTAATTTAAATATTCATCCTTATTCGTGGAACCACTTCAAAACTTTAAGTGCACAAATATCAGCTTCTACGATTCGTGCAACATTCAAATTGTTACTCCACGTTTGCTGCACTGCAGTTTACATGAAGTAGCAATTTCAGGTGAAATGGAGCACCGATTTCCGAGATTTGTGTAATTGAAAATTCGAAGTGGAAGTGCACTTGGCGGCCAATTGTAGACTCTACAAGGAACCACCTTAACAGTGCTAATTTAAAATAAATCAAATGTCAAAAACATGTCAGCATTTTAGGAAAAATACTAAAAAAAATATTTTTCCATGAAAATTTAGGCTTTTTTACACAACGTATAAAAAAATTTGCGATGTGTTTGTTTTTTTTTTTTTCTTTTTTGAGTTATATTTTTCGAAGTTATCAAGTGTTGGATTTTCGCTCAGTACTCCTATTTGATTAGACTATCATGCGTCTCCATTGCTTTTAGCGACTGTAACATGGTCACGACTAGCAATGGGCGATCTTGGATCGAAACATAAAAGATCGATTCTTTTGGTTCAATTAATCGATTTTTTGAATCAATCTCAAACACGACAAAACTTGACTGGATCGATCTTTTTCATTCGATTTTTGTTTCGATCCAAAACAAATTTTCAGTGCATTTGCATTTGAAATTTAATATTGATCATTAATATTTAATATTCATGATGAAATGGTGAAGAAAGTCATTGATCTACATACGTACAAACATTCACTTCTTGTGACATATTCCAGGATCATCATCCTCTGCTATGTCAGAACTGGATCGCCACAGTCGGAAGAATTACAAAATTTCTTGCACCAGCCTGTTTTCCCACGTTCTGTCGATCCTTTTCAAGCATGGGAGAAAATCCTTAGTAAATATCCCCATGTTTACCCCATTGCTCGAGACTATTTATCAAGAATGGTAGCAAATGTTCCGTCAGAGAGGCTATTCTCTAAACTGTTGAAACCACACAGAATCGATATCAGCTCAATGCAATGCAAAACGTTTTGTTTCATATGTTTATCTTTAGTTTTTTAAATCGTTCATTTAATACCAATAAAACGAAAAGTATAACCTGTTAAATCACTCACCTAATCAAGTATCCTGAGCAAAAACTTCCACATGTCAAATGAAATCCAAATAGTCATTTACTATATTCTCATCATGTATGTATGTTACAATTACAACTTTTACTGCGTACGTACTACACAATTTATTTCTAAATGATATCAATCATCACACTACATGATTATTAAAGTGAAATGTCATAACAAGATAGCTTATGAAACGAAATATCAACTTTAGATTGAACTTGACGTTAATCTGCACCAACTTTCCTACGACCCGTTATGTTTGAAACATTTTCTGTGCCATTTTGAAAAATGAATCGCCCAATCCTAGTCTCGACGCATGATAGTCTAGTCGCATAGGAGTATTGAGTGAAAACCAAAAACTTGATAACTTAAAAAAAAAACATAGAACTCAAAAACGAAAAAAAAACATCGCTGATTTTTTTATATGTTGTGCAATAAAGTCTAAATTTTGAAAGAAAAATATGAAAACATATTGCGTCCTCTGTTTACAAACCATGAAAACAAATTTTTCAATCTCATTTTATTTTTCATACAAAGTTTCTATTTTCAATTTTGATCTTTGAAATCAAGTGGTCCAAGTGGTCCGAAAGTTATGATTTAAAAAAAAAAAGATAACATGGAAATGGTCACCCTAGTGACAAAAAAAAAAAAAAAATACCGGTCTAATATTTTGCGATAATGAAAAAACCTATCAATTATTACGAAATTCTGAGAACCACTATATCGTTTTGCTATGCAATGGCTATATATTTTGATAATGTTCTTCTTAATATGTATGTGTGAAGTTTGAGAACACATAAACTAAAGAACCACCCCGAGCGCCCATCAGACAATCCCACTACGCAAAACCACCAGTTGATCCAAACAATCTATCGTCATTATGTGCTATAAAAAATCGCATTACTAAGTAAAAGACGCCGCTGTGAATTCCTTTTGAATTGCGATGATGTCACCGCGAACGATCACTTGACGGCTCCTATGCAACCACGAGCACGTTTGCGTCACTGCACTTGGCTTTATTTCTAGCTGCATAGGTGGCATCTAATGGTTCACAGCCAACAATGATATAATAGCACGCGGACCAAATCAAAACAAACACTTCCGGATTCAACCCGGTTAACATCCACTACAAGCGCCGTTCACCTACTTTTTCTCTTCTCCACAGCTAATGATATTCGTATTAACTTGTGATCGCGAATCAGCTGTGAAGGATTTGACGCGACGCAAAACCGCGATTCCGAATTCTCTCGCTCTCTTCGCTGCTCACAAACCTACGCTTGCCGTCCCTCGCAAGATCACAGAGGTCAAATCGGATTCACGTGATAGGTTTGCAATTGGTCCAAATGTTTAACATTAGTATCGCACCTGCGCTTGCACTGTAGCCAGTACCTACTCTCAACTACACTAACTTTCTCACATGCCAAACGCTATCACTGAAGCCTTTGCCGAACTTGTGCCAACTCACGTTCGAAATCGAATCTTCGCTTAACGAATTGTATGCGATCACCTTCATATAAATGAAAGCTGCATCGATGCAGCAAGAGCTCGCGATTGCACTATTATAAAACAGAGGAAAATTCCGATCTATTAATACTAATCTAGGCGTAATACTGTCACTCCATGTTACATAAACTGCGCCGAAAAACTACTAGAATAGTATCTCAGATCAAGTCACTCTTCAGTTACTGTTTGTCACGCACTGGAATCCTCCACTGAAACCCGTCAAATGATGATTAATTTCACGATACTCGCCTACAGTCTGTGTAAGCATCATCTGTTTGAATCACGTTCCAGCAGCGTATGCGATATAATTGAGTGGTATCGAGCCGACCAGGCGGCTTCATCATCCACCGAGCCAGACGTCTAACCTTCAACCATCATCATCTTTGATTCACACCCACATCCAGTATGGGAAAATCACACAATATCACAAATTTTCTTCACCAATTACGTAATCGTACAGATCCCGTTGCTCTTCGGTTTCGATCAACCGTTGCATATTGAATTTTCTGAACCACAAAATTCTGCATCTGGGCTATTACCTTAAATTCACTAACGATTTCCAACTGACAAACTCCGACAAGAATTCCAACTTCACGCTTCCCTTCCTTTCGATGAAGATGATGATAAGTGTAGGCGCAAGCTCTGGAGACACCTGTCTCACCTAGAAAGCAGAAGGCCACCACTCGGAGGACGAGGTCGATTCGAGAACGTCGTGTAGCGAACTAACCGGCGGCGAGTGCAGTAGTAAAGTGACTCTCGCGCAAATCAACTCGCACTGAATCGCACCACACACCGTGAAAACTATAATACAGTTGCAGCAGTTACGTTACAACTATTAATACTGCCATAGCGAAGTGACAGGAGAGTATAGTGCACACCTTAGTCGCGGGTTTCGCCTAGAGGCTAGATGGTCGGTGAAGTTCAAACCAGCTGTGTCGAGAAACGATACTGATCGTGTAAAGCGAGTAAAGCGTGCCATTTGGGGAGTGTGGGCAAATGAGGCGCACGTGGTAAGGTAGTGATATGGCGCAAAGCGCGGTGTGCAATTCCCGTTCAATTGGGCGCAAATTTGTCGGGCTCAGTAGAGACATCGCATGCAGTTTGTTCGTGATGTTTTATGGAAACTTAGTGATTGAATTTTATTGGGCATATTGATCATAAAGCTGGTCAATGCGATTGTGTGATACAGGTATTGCTCGATATAACGTAACTGGCATTTTCCGCTTCTATCGACGATTTCTCGCCAACGATAAATAGGGGGATTTTTGTAATATTATAGGATTGGTTTGGGCCGAAGGTCTCAGAATTTTATGAAATTTTTCCCACAGGTAGAGTTTATAAATAGTATTTTTTTTATTCGGGATGGGTAATTTTTCCAAGAAACTTTGGTTGAAGCTTTCAGATTTTCCCGGACATCACGTACTTTGAAAATTCATCACTCATGAAGAACGTTCCGCAATCCAAAAAATCAAAAAATGTTTTCTTGGAAAACTTTCAAGGTGTAGGAAAATCGCAAGGAAAATCAGTAAAAACCATTGTCAGGTTAATGCAAATTTGTCTAGTGATTTCGTTTCTCATTTATTTTTATTAGAAATAATAGATTTTCCCTTTTTCTAGCCTTACCCACATGTTACTTTTTTACCTTTTCACTTTATTTCGGTGGTTCGGTATACATGGACCTTGAATAAGATATTTATCTTAAAATATTTATCTTAAAATCTCGTGATTTTAAACGGCAAAATGCTTTTTAAGCTTTGACTTAGTACGTATTTTTTGTACTAGGAATAAAAATTTAAAAAATACATAAATGGACTTTTTACCCTTCTTACAAAGAAGGGTATAGATATCACTTGAAAAACCGACTATCGATCCGAGGCCCGGAGGGCCGAGTGTCATATACCATTCGACTCAGCTCGACGAGATCGGAACATGTCTGTGTGTGTGTGTGTGTGTGTGTGTGTGTGTGTGTACGTGTGTATGTGTGTATGTGTGTGTGTATGTAACGAAATGAATGCGCTCACGTTTCTCAGCAACCGCTCAACCGATTTGGACAAACTCGGCGCCAAATGATAGGTCTTGTCCCATTGAACGCTATTGAACGGTTTTGGAATCGGTGAACCGGTTCCGGAGATATGGCCGGAATAAGATCCGGTGAATATGGGCCTTCACGCTGGATTTAACGGAAAACGTATAAAAACCATCATGCGACACATCAGATTACTACAGAATTCAAAGATAAGATCAATGCAAGTCGTGTTAAGTGTTCCAGACCACATTGGACACACTTGGACATGTTCCGGGTACCCCGGGGAAGTTGCTTGAATATGAATTGAATTAAAACCCATTAAATCACATTAAAATACGATGATAAGGTGATTGGTAGCCTCACCAAATAGACTACACCCGGATATATTCCGGGTACCCCCAGGCAGTGGCGTAGCGTCACTGGATGACACGGGGGTGGGGGGGCATGGTCACTGATAATGACAATAAAATAAATAAACTTGAATAAGTAAGAAGGGTCTGATCACACCATAGGTGGATAAATTCGGGTTTTTAAGAACAAAATTACTTATTTATTCAGTTTAGTGTGTGACGAGCAATTTCATAGCAAAAATACATGTGGGAAATACGTAATCAGCAATGCGGCGATTTTCTCTAGTGTACAGAGATATTTTTTTACACTCATACGGACTTTTGAAAAAATCATCTGGCATCCCTGGCTAAAGCCGACACAAAGTTGTCGACTGGATAAGAGTTCGGATGGAAAGTGACAGACGGAGAAATAAGAAAAGAAATTTGATTGCCGAACTGAAGAAATCCTGGCCACGTTTTGGTAGTAAAAACGAAGACTGTGTGGAAAGTGGTGTAGTGTTGAACCCCACCGCTGGTGATTCCCGGGTGTGGCCCGTCGCTGAAGTCGGCTAGGATCGAGCCCTCGGGCTATCGTCAACCAAGGACGACCACCGAAGTCCTCACGTGGATACTATTTCTATCCTGGAGGTGAGTTTGGGAAGCCAGCGAGTCCCGCGCTGGTGTCTAGCGAGTATCCGCCATTGCTAGGACACACGCAACGGGCGTGCAGTAGCCAAAGCTGTGGCGGTGAGGTACTGGTAAGGTCTGGTGGGTTCGCCCCCGCTTACCAGTGCCCAAAATCCAAGGTATTACTGCCCCGTCTGCGAGCGCGTGGAACGCCGATCATTTGGACCCTACTCCACCGGACATTCAGGCCCAACTCCGTCGGAGACAATCGAGGAGCTACGCTGAGCTACGGATCTACCCAACTTCCTCAGCGAGACCAGGGTCATGGGTACCGGTAGGAGTAGCTGATCATCAACTCAACAGAGGTAACCAAACCACCGACAAACCGACATGACACTTAATTCTGACTTATGCCCGAAAATTTTAAACGGCCGATTTAAATGTGCAGTGATCCGAATTGTCAAAACCATAGGATTTTTTGATCTAGATAAAAATAATTTGTCCAGAATAGATCAGACACGAACCAATCCATAACTTTTGCATGCGGGCTCATGGCTTAGCTAAATATTTCCCGCGAACACGGAACCAGATGTCAGTAGTGTGCTTTGGTCAAATTTTTTACTGTTTTTGCTATGATGATTCATGTCGGATTGTCAGTGACCAAACTACAATCGCTTTCTCGCTCTCCCTCTACACATGGGCCCCACCGTTTCCTGATCGGCCGTACCGAATCACCCCTTTATGACGTATCTTTAAAATTAAAAAAAAAAATCTATTTACTTATTTTCTGTGTTTGTTTTTTTTTTCCTTGAGTCCTTGGTGTCCTGTATTGTTCCACCTATTATTCTCGTTTTGATTGGTTGTATGTGTGATGTCCTCCCGAAGCAAGTGAATGTAGCCGACCCTGAAAAGAAACCCTTTATACTGAGCTAGCCGCTTACAACAATTGGCGATCCAACCAAACAAAAAAAAAATATTCTTGCTGCAAGAACATTTTTCTACTTGCTCCGGGAGACTCACGATTCTCCCTCCCATTCATTGTGATTGTATCGTGGTGTTACGTTAGCGTATTGGTTCAACGAGAAAGCATTGAACTCTGTTTGATTCACTTTGAGTCAACATATCCATTGTAAATACGACGCAAAAGATCCCTAATTTATATTACTATTTTCCATTGATATCTAACGGTTTATTTCAGAAATAAGTGAATTGAAATATAAGAAATAAGTGAATTGAAAAACAAGGAATAGGGTTAACTACCCCATTTCCGGCCTATTAAGCACAACCCGTATTTAGTCTTTCTTAATCTAGCACAGCATAGCACCGAACAGAATGTGATTATTACTGATGGCTTCCAAATTTATTTACCTTTCCGTACGTACCGTAAGATTTGATAAAGAGAAACAAATCGTTGAGATTTTGTCAAAAGTCTAACACTGCTTCTTGACGCCAAACTCGGCCTACGGATTCCAAACTCGGCCTAACGCATTGAAACGCCATTCAAAGGCCAATGAATTCACTTCGGCCTATCGGATGAAGATAAAACATGATTCGGTCGGAGTGCTTCTTTTGTTTTTGGGAATAATGGGTGCAAACCTTCATATCACGCGTTCTCATTGACTTCGTTCCGTAGCATATTAACTAAAGTATCGTACCAAACGCACAAATTGACTTGTTAACTCTGAAATCATGGATTTATTTGAAGATTTCCGCCCAAAATGGGCGATTAGGCCGAAGTAGTGCTCTACCCTAAGTGAATTGAAATTTAGCATTAAGTGGAATGAAATTGAATTGAAAATTGCATTAAAACGATTTAGTTAATTAAGCGGAAGTTATTAGTAATTAAGTGATTTGAATTGAATTGATTTTTCCTGTATATATACACTAAGATTTTTTCACAGATTTCTGTAAAATTTTACCGAAATCTCAAACAGCTGAACGTTCGGCAAACAGTATTACAGTTTTCCTTTAATTTTTACAGATATCTGTGAAAAAATCACAGATATTTATGAAAAAGTACAGGAAATCTGTGAAACTGTTTACAAAACGTTCAGCTGTTGAGATTTCGGTAAAATTTTACAGATTTCTGTAAAAATTTCTAAGTGTGTAGCTTTTCTTTTTATTGATAAACAGTAGAAATGGCAAATCTGCTTGATTTAGTCGTTGAAAAGTTAAAGCAACTATATTGTGACATTCGGGTAGATCATTTAAGTGAAGATGAGTTAGATTTTGAGCTTGAAGTCAGGGATATCGTTTTCAATAATAACAAGTCAATCTCAAGGAAAAAGGAGAGCGCTGAGATAGACGTTAAAGAATGAAAAATCAGAGGAAAATCCAAAAAAATCGCTTAAGCAAAATCCGGTTATGCCGGCGCCGGTGGTGTAGTGGTAAGCATGACTGCTTTCTAACACCCCAATGGGTCTGGGTTCAATCCCAGCCGAGGTCGGTGGGATTTTTCTGAGGCATAAAAATCTCTGGTCACGTCTTCCTTCGGAAGGGAAGTAAAGCCGTTGGACCCGGCCCATGTGTGTTGTGAATGGGTGCGATATCCTACGCAGGTGTGGAAGCTGCCTTCCTGCACATTCGGTTGCCGTCAATGGATGGCAATCGATGTCCGTCGGTGATTGGCACTAGATTGCGGAACAGAGACCGACGATAAATAAAGGAAAGAATAAAATCCGGTTATGGACTTTCGTGTTTGTGTGGCAAAGTTTAATGAGATCGATGAGACGATTCGGATTTCATCCAAGGGTGTGCCACCTAGATGTCAGTCTAGATTGTTGCATATAGGTAGTCGGTTGAT